TTTGCTTGGATGCTTCAGACACTCCATATGCCTGCAATGCCCCTAAAGATAAGAATCATGAGCTCTACCTCTCACAGCTCTGAAAGTTCTGAAGTCTAGACTTTTACCTAATTACTGTGTCCCAGGTCTGGGTCCCCAAGGCATAGCTTCTGTGGACATCCAATGAAAGGGTAAGTCTCTTCCTGCGGACAGGAAGTGCTCAAAAACATTCCATTGTGCCCTGGTTCATTTACCAAGTATTTGTCAAGGGCATAAAAGAAAATGACAGTAATTGGTATTGGCTCCAGAGATCTGGAACTAAATCAGTATGAGTAATCCAAGAACCCATTTGAAAATCAGACTTCTAACAGTGGGAGCCGGAGGGTCTTGAACTGTTTTGCACAGTCTTCTTCCTATTGTGTTGCTTTGTTCAGACTTGATATGAGGGCTTTTGCCTTATTGTATCTTTTTTTGTGCTTTGTGTCTGTTATTTCTTGGAGCACTGATCTGTTCTGATGAAGAAAGAAATGGGGAGAAGGTATGGCAAAGAGAAGGGGTAGAGGAGAGAAGCTGGGGGTGGAGGGATTGTAAACTATGGTCAGAATATATTGTATGAGAGAAGACTCTATTATGAATTTTAAAAAAAAGAAAATAAAAAACAAGTAAACAAATAATTGCAATCACATGTGACAAAAATAATAATAAGTCAAATAATAAATAAAATGTCAAGAATAATGCTCTTGTGTGTATGCATATTACCATTAGTTGTTCATCCAACAAAATAACTTGAGATTTGAGTGACCTGACTCCACAGATCAATTTGAGATTAGGTGAAACAGTGAGAGTATTGTCTTAGAATTCATAGATGTAATCATTTATCTCACACTTCTTTAAGATGGTTCAGTAGGTTTTGAAATGTTCTTCATAGAGGTCTTCATTAATGAGTACTTGATATGTTTTGAAATAATGATAAATGATACATTTCCTGGATTTAATTTGGTACCAGTTTGTTGAATACAGAAATGCAGGGAAGTTTAACATTATAAGCTTTGTGCCAAAAACTTTGCTGAGGTCTCTTAATAATTCTGATAGCTTGTCAGTACCATCTTTCGAATTTTCTATGAATGCAATCTGGAAAAAAAGGCCAGTTTTATTTCTTCTTTCTCAATCTTTGAATCTTTAATTTCTTTTTTTTTGCCTTACTGGGATGGCTAGAATATTCAATATAATTTTGAAAAGAAGTAGATAAAGCCATCACATTTATCTTGTTCTAAATCATGAGGAAAACCCTTCAGTACCTTGGCACCAAGTATAATGTTGACTGTAGGATTGCTTCCTGCATTTATCAGTTGAGAGAAGATATTTTATTCTCAACTTTCTATAGGTTCTTCTCAAGTGTAAATGTTGAAAAAAACATGTGTTTGTAGCAACTCAAATAATTATATGACTTCGTCCTCTTTAAAATAGTTTTTGATGAAACATGTAATTGAAATCTTAATTTTAAACAATTTTCCATTCTAAAAAACTTTGTCATTTAACATTTTATGTACTGATAGATTTAATTTATTAATATCTCATGCAAGAATTTGTCTATATTTCAGAGGCAGATTACTACCTTAAAGATGTAGTCTATGATAAGGTAACATTTCAACTTTGTTAATATTGATGTTTTTAATTGAGTTTCATATATTTTCCATTGAGAAGAATGTTTTCTTTTATTTTTGAGATTATAATTATGCCATTTCTCTCTTTTCTATCCCACTTCCAAGTATTGCCATTTACTCTGCCAATTTTCTTTAAAATCCATGGCCTTTTATCTTGTTAATTGCTATTATGTGCATATATATTCCTACATAAACCTGATCAGTCTGTATGATGTTAGTTTTGCGTGTGTTTTCTGGGAATTCTCTTTTCTCTGGAGACGACTATGTCTCTCAGCATTCTTCCCTTGGTTGTGACTCCTTGTGTATGGTGAAGCCTTGTGCCCCACTGCCATCCATTTTGACACATCCATTAGTGTCATCCTTATTCATTCATCTCATGTTTGGACATTCAAATTAACTGCAACTTCATGGCCCAAATCTCACAACACACTGCCTAATCTTACTCTGTCTCCTCTCCAGCAATGTTCAGTGAGGCTTGGGTTCATGAGTGTTTTGTAGATGTATCCATAGGGGCTGGATTTTGACTGCATATGGTTTTCCTACCTGAGAACTCGGGCTGCCCTCTTTGGACTGGGCCTTCTTACATCAACTAAGAATTAAGACAGTCTCCCAAAGACATGACCACAGACCAACTTAACCTAGGAAATGCCTCAACTGAGGTTTTTCCTTTTAGATGACTCTAGGCTTTTCAGAGGTTTGGTTTATTTGTTTTCTATTAGTTTTTTGAGAAGTTCATACAATATGTTTTGATCATTTCTACCCCTCCCCAACTGCTCCCACATAGACCAGATTTGTATCCTTTTAAAAGTCCATTTTGTTTTTGTCATATCCTCAGATGTCTGACCATCTACTTAAGTATGATCAACTTAACAGGGACAACATTAAGTCTTAAAGAAAACTGATTCTTCCTCCAAGAAGCTGTCCATTTCCAATAGCTCCTTTTGGGGGGTGGAGTTTCACATATACCTCCTTCTCTGCGTTGAGATTTGGCCTGACCTAGGTTAAGGATTGTGCATGTAGCAATTGCTCTGACTTTTAATGTGCAGCTGTAGATATCTGTGTGAATCCCATCTACTTCAAGTAGACTGTTCTCTGATGAGGGTTGAGATATGTGTTCATCTAAGAGTATAAGGATAAGTCATTAGGTGTCACTTTGTATATAGTATGTGTATACTAAAAAATGATTGCTGTTGGTCCTCCCCTAGTTTTTAGAACCCGACCAGACACAGGATTTGGCTCAACAATAGCAGCAAGTATACATTTTCTCAATTAAATATTAGCGGCTAACTTATTTCTAGGAATGTAAACATTTTGTTTTATTAAAAATATATTGAAATAAAATTGTGAAGCTGCATTTTCTCTTTTTAGTCTGAATCTTCTCTAATTATGTTCCTTTAATTAAACTAAGAAAGTTTACTTATGTATTCTCTTATTTTCTTGGTCAATTTCACAGAGTCCTACATTCAAACTTAAATTATTTACCTTTATATGTCTTATCATTTTATTCTTCTTTCACACTATTACCATCTAATTCTTACTACTTTTCTTTCTACTTTTTGCCTTTATTTTTATAGCTTTATGAGATGGACATTCTGCTGGTTAGTATTAGCCTCTTTTTAAAATAAATATCTTAAAATATAAATTTAGCTCTAATAATCTTCTATGAATATTATATAAGTATTGGTATATTATTATTTCATTAGTGTTTGGTTCTAAATAGTTCAAAGTTATCACCATCAGCTCTTGTAACCATTGGTTAGAATGCCAAACATGGACTTTTTTCTAATCTACCTATTGTTTTTAATTTCTAATTTGATTACACTCTACTAAGAATGTGGTTAACTTTTTAAAGATAACCTAATTTTAAGAAATTTTCTTTATCAATTTCATGGACTACAGGCAATTATTTCTATAATTTCTAAAATGGACCAAGATGTACTTAAATGGAATGCTTTCGGGTTTCTTAAGTAAAATGAACTAAATTCTATCTTTGGTTCTAGTTCAAACACCCAGTTTATCAATTCTGAAGGAATGGGCTGGTCATTGTTTGTTCTGTTTTTGTTTTCAAGACCTAGTTTCTTTGTGTAACAGTCCTGGCTGTCCTGGAATGTACTTTGGAGAACAGGCTGACCTCCAATTCAGAGATCTGCCTGCCTCTGCCTCCCAAGTGCTGGGATTAAAGGTGTATACCACTACTGCCCATCTTTGTTTTGTCTTATTTGTTTTAATTATGTGTGCGCATGTATGTGTGTGTGTGTGTGTGTGTGTGTGTGTGTGTGTGTGTTGTTCTATTTGCAAGTCCACATGTACACACAGGCATGTGTGCACCTGTGTCCTTGTGGAGAACAGATCCACTTTGATTTGTTTATTTTTTTAAATTTTATAACAGAGAGTCTTCTATTGGCCTGGAACTAATTGAGACTAGTCTGACTGGCCAGTGATCCACAAAGATCTGCCTGTCTCCATCTTCCTAGTGCTTGGATAACAAGCATATGGCTCCATTAGAGCAACTTTCTTGGGCAGAAGATGGGAGTGGGTGGGAGACCCATAAGCAAAGCAGACATCATGCAGAGAGAGAGAGAGAGAGAGAGAGAGAGAGAGAGAGAGAACAAATTGGAGGTCTGAATCAGGTTTGTACCCTCAGAGGGGCAAAGATAACCCATGAAAGAGGAGATGGAAAGATTACACGGGTCAGAAGGGATAGAGGCTACCAGGAGAACATGACCCAATGAATCATCTAAGCAGGATTTATATGGACTCCCAGAGACTGAAGCAGCAAGCATGACACCTGCACGGGTCTACACCAAGTCCTCTGAATACAAGTTATGACACTTAGCCTGGTATTTTTGTGGGACTACTATTTGTACACATTTCCTCCCATATTGTTGCCTTGTCCAACCTTATAGAAGGGCTTTTGGCTTGTCCTGTTGTATCTTCTTTTGTTCTTTTTAGCTGTCATCTCTTAGAGACCTGACTTTTCTGAAGAAGAAACAGAGGGGAGTGGAAGTAGGGATACAAGCGGATGGGGTTGGGAGCTGGCAGAGTGGACAGAAGGGAAACTGTAGTCAGGCTGTATTGTATGAGAGAAGAATCTATTATCAATAAACCAATTTTTTAAAAGCACACGTTATCATAACTGGCTTTTATTTATGTGCTTTTAAAACATACGCTCTAGTGATTGAACTTAGAAGGTCATGCTTTGGAGATGACAGCATTATGGATTGAACTTCTCTACATCTCCATCCATGAATTTTTTTTTACTGAATCCGCAATACAGGATCTTTTCTCTGCAGTGTAATCAGGGTCATCTCTGGCACTAAGACATAGTGTTCACCTTCTTTTTATCTTTCAGGTTTGAGCTCCTCAATGAAGAGAACCAACTTCACAGGGGTGAGAGAGTTTGTTTTCCAAGGTTTCTCCAATTACCAAGAATTCCACCTCACACTCTTTGTTGTCTTCTTTGCCCTGTACCTCCTGACTCTGGCTGGCAATGTCATCATCGTGACCATTATCCGTATTGACCAGCACCTTCACACCCCCATGTATTTCTTCTTAAGTGTTCTCTCCACTTCAGAGACATTCTATTCCCTGGTCATCATCCCGCGAATGCTTGGTAGCCTTGTGGGTCTGAGCCAAACCATCTCGCTAGAGTGCTGTGGGACACAGCTCTATTTTTTCCTTGGATTTGGAATCACCAACTGTTTGCTTCTAGCAGTCATGGGTTATGATCGCTATGTGGCCATCTGCAACCCACTTCGCTATACCATCATCATGAATTGGAGGGTGTGCACCATTCTGGCATCTTCAGTCTGTGCTACAGGGTTCCTTCTCTCACTAGTTCAGGCTGTGTCCATTTTCAGGCTTCCCTTTTGCAACTCACTGATTGAACATTTCTTCTGTGATGTCCGACCCATGTTGAATCTGGCCTGTGAAGTGCCAGTTGTCAATGATATCTTGACATTAGTTCTCACCCTACTGGTCATCACTGCACCCGCCACTTTCCTATTCATCTCCTATGCCCTCATTATCTCCACAATTCTTAAGATTGCTTCAGCTGATGGCTGGAAGAAAACTTTTGCCACCTGCAGTTCCCACCTCACTGTGGTTGTGATCCACTATGGTTGTGCCTCCATTGTCTATTTCAAGCCCAAGTCAGAGAGCACCAGGGACCAGGACCAGATGATCTCAGTGACTTACACAGTTATAACACCTCTACTAAATCCCGTTGTGTATAGTCTGAGAAACAAAGAAGTTCAGGATGCCCTTCGGAAAGTGATGGGTAGGAAATCCCTATCATAGTTGCTAATTTATGTCCAAATAATTTCATCTTTTTCATATGGAACATTATAAGTAAAATTATAAAACCAGGGTCTCATGTGATTAGAAATCTCATATTTGATAAACAGGGACAAGGCCAGGACATAAGAAGAGTTAGGAGTCAGCCTCCAATAATTGTGTTTTATTTCTTTAACCTCTTTGTTAACATAATAAATATAAAGGTCACTTGCAAGGCCTGTGCACAGACAGTCATTGGCCCTATTCCAGAAGATAATTACAAGGTCAAAGTATGATCTTATGTTCATTTTGAGCTTAAATTTAAAAGAAACAATCTATTTCCTGTTGAATTATAAACCACACATTAAACATTACTCAATGGAATATTCTCTTAGTGTAAATTAGATGCTCAAGCAAGTGAAGAGTAGGAAGGATATGTACAGACATCTAACTGCCTTGTGTTTTAATAAGATAAATGCAAAACTAAAGACATCTTTTAAGAAATTGATTTGGGATAACCTAAAACTTCCTAGACAGACTATCTTCACACAGCCACACATGGAACACCAAGGGAAATCCACATTTCTGATCTTCCTCTAGTAGAACTCCTAATGAAAGGGAGCTAAGGAAATGTCATGAAGAGGGAAGGAGACATTAAATGGAAAAGTTTTAATCAGCATAGAATAACCATAAGAGGCTGGCCATATCACCTGAATGCAAATGACTTGGTCTATTCATTGCTTCTTATTATTGAGAAGCCAGATGGAGGAGAGGGCTTTCTGGAGCTGATAATAAAGTCATCCTTCATAGAAAAGAAATTTTTTAAGTCTCAGGAAGGAAGTGGAGGTCCTTGAGGGAGATGAATGCTGAGAAGTCTGTGAAATTGGTGAAGCAGGAAAGGTTACGAAGAAATCGTCTGAGAAGTTCCTGAGAGTTGAATCAAAGTGAGAGATGACAGGGTGAGGAGGGCCAAGAAGAAAAGAACTTTAGAAAACGTCCTTCTGATTGAGCCTCCTTCTTCCCCTTGTAAACCAAGTCACCAAGGCAAGGAAAGGGAACTAGGTGGAAACTCAAGCCATGATAACTCCTGTGTGAAATAAATTAGATGATTGAATTACTGAGGAAAAATAGAAATGTAAATAGTAAGGAATTCTGACATGAAGACTTCTATAAAATTCAATTATCTGAGCTAGAAATGAAACAATGACAGACTATTTATTCTTTCTTTCCTCAAAAATTGAAAAAGGAGAAAAATGGGGGTAAATTTTAGATTCAATTTGTGAGCAAAAAGCAAGTGATGAATAAAACTTAGTGATTAGCAGGTACAATTACTGATCAAATCAAAGTATTTTATTATATTGAGAAATTAACTTCAGTATACAAAAAGAACATATGAGTACACCTTATTCTCCTTGTAAAATGTTGTCAAACTACAGAATATCAAATAAAATATCCAAAGCTATCATGCATGTAATATACTATGTATGCAATAAATAAATCTAAGGAAGTTCCATCCTCCTATCTGCATTGTCACTCAGAACTCCTAATACTTTTGATGGAGGAAAAATTACCTAGATTTTTTTATGTAAACCTAGTCAGTTATTGATGAATAATCCATGTTGAGTAATGAATAAAAGTTTAGATTATTCTCTTTGTTTTTCTTCTAATTTACCCCCCCAATGCCCTATAGCAAACCCAGTTCTAAGCAATGGTTCTCACCCTGAAGGAAAATGAGCCTCATCCATGCTCATCTCTACCTCTGTTTGCTAGAGCTCAGGAAGATACATGACCCACAGTCAACCCTATTGTTATGCATTGAGAGAACTTTGGTGATTTCATGTACTTTCACCAGATTCCAGCACTTCATATCTTGTTTGCAGCCATTCTATGTCCACCAGCCATCCATCAGCCTCTTATAATCCTAAATTTTTCATCTCTATTTGTGGTCCTAGGATGTGGTGAACTAGAGTCAACTTGGCATCCTCAAACCAACCATCTAACACCACACTTACCTACCTCCCTGCCAGGACTCAAGACTTTCTGTGCAGCTTCTCTGGAAAGTCAGTAACGTTCACATTCCTCTGTTACAATAAATCTTTCCACCAAAAGCCACCTAAGTTCTGCCCGCCATGTGGATGGACAAAATAATACACAGACATATTAGGTACAAATGCTGCTTGGCCAATGACTAACCTCAGTCTTAATCATCATAAATCTATATATTTTATTAAACTTGTGTTATCGGACGCCTTCCATTGGCATTGACCTTGCCGATGGATCATATCATGCCGCTGGAGGAAGAGCAGAGTGGCAAAAGGGGGTACTTCCTGGTTGTCCTTCCTTAAATATGAGTCTCCATGTTATGTCACTTCCTGCCTGGATCACCACTTCTCTACTACATTTCCCAGAATCCTCTTTGACTCCTAGTCCTGCCTAACTTGCTGCCTCATTTGCCAAACAGTATTTTATTTATCATCCAGTAAGACAAACACATACACAGAAGCACTTCCCTCATCACTCCTCTGTTTCAAGGACTCCTGTCTGTCCTTGATGAGGGCATCAAGGAGTACCTGGGGGCAAGGGCAAGAGTCTGTCTTCTCTAGTATCCCACTAACTACAATGAAGTCTTCTTCAAAGTTTTTTGTCTTTATGTTATTCAAACAGAAAACCCTGAATTCTTCTCAGCTTCATAGTTCACATTTTATGTTTCACACAGAATATATTAGTGCTCATATTTTGATATTCAAAATCATTCTCTCCAAACTACAAGAGGCTCTCCTATCTAGAAAAGTTTGCTAAACTTAAAACCTCTTTCAGTTTCAATTCTAATGTTTTATTTATGAGTTTTGGCATGCAGTTGACTTTCTCTCTGGATTCTTTTGATCTTTTCCAGGGGCAAATAATGTCCCCTAGAACAATGTGGAATAACAGTAGCCACTGGAAAAACAGGAGAAGCTTTAGATTACCACCCACAAGATGTCTTCCCAGAGTTTGTTTCTTTGGAAATTCAGAAATCATTTACTTTTCATTTGGAATATTCAATAAAAAGTTCCTCTCATAAGCTCACTGCTCTTGAATTAAAAATCCCATTGTTAAAGTATAGCTCTCCAGTAGTACCCAAGTCTCCATCAGAATGGAATTCAAATCTCCTTTCCTCGAGGTCAATCCTGTCTGCCAGCCACATCAACGTCTGATATGTACAGTGAGGTAGGTTTTCCATCTTTCTAGTTGGAGAGAGGGCCTTTTCCTGTTTCTGCATTGGTCTACCACCTCCACATGGCCAATGTGTGCATTGGCCTGACAGAGATCTTTATCAAGCTGAGGTAATTACCATATATTCCTAGCTTTCGTGAAGTTTTTCTTAAAAATAAGTGGTGGGCTTTGTTAAATGTTTTCTCTATAGTCGGTTTTATAATCATAAAGTTTCTAATTTAAAATGGTAATGTGATGAATACCAATCCTTAATGTTTGAAAATTGATGTAGCTTTGCATTCCTGGAATAAATCCAGGATGGTCTACAATTCCTTTTATGCACTGTTGGATAATTTTTTTTATTATTTTGCTAATATTCTGCTGAAGATACTTTTTATAAGTCACAAGATAGAATTTTCTGATGAATTAGTTTGTCTTTCAAGGTTGTTGAAATTATAATTATGAAGTTAAACTATTTTTGCATTAAATTTTCATAGGTGATGGAGGTATTCTTTCCTATTTATGGCACTTTTGGTTTGTACCTTTTCCCATTTATTTTTGGTCAGTTTTATTAGATACTTATTAATTTAACTCATCATTTTTCAAGAACTTTATTAAATGCTTTTCTATTAGTTTATTTCTTTTTTACAGGTTTTAAATATATTTTTATCTTTTGCTTCTGTTCATATCTTTATTACTTCCTCCTTTGTCCTGTTGGAACCTTCTTTATTTCTACCTTCTTGGTGTAGCAACTCCTGTCATTGATTTGTTTCCTGCTAAAATACTCATTTCAACATTGTAAATTCCTTCCTGTATCACTGTTTTAGGTGTGTTCACATGTTATAGCATGCTGAATATTTTTATTCCTGTTTTGTATTTAATGTTTCCATAGGATTTTGTAAAGAAGTATGTCACCTGACTTCCATGTTGTTTAGATGTTTTGCCTGTTGAGTTTCTGTTATTTGTAGATAGTTTGTATCCTGGATATTTTTCTGTCATATTAGGAAATGCTGACTACTATGTAAATGTCTTATTTTAGGAGATAGTCACCTAGTTTGCTTGTCCTAATTTTGTGAGCTATGGTTCTTGTGATACTTTTACTTCTGAGTCTTTTTCTGTTATTTTGGTCTGCTTGTCCCCTTTGGTGCTGTGGGGACATCCCATGTACTCTCCTTATTTACTCTTATTCTTTTTCAATCAACATTTTGCATAACAGCCAATTATCTCTCAAAAACTAAAATCCTATCATGCCTTCCTTTCAGTAAAATTTATCCAATGTAGTTTCATTTTATATAAAATAAAGTCTACTTTCCTCATGATGGCCTATGTGATGGTTGGTCTTTTTGATTGATATTTTTTATTTATTATTTGGCAATTTCATAATACATATACTATATCTCAATTATATTAATTCCGTTACCTGTGTTCCCCCCCACTCACCCCTGTGGAACCCCTTCTTCCCAACAAATACCCTTCCTTCTGTCATGTCTTTCTTTTCAAGTGGCATGCTGAGTTGAATTAGAGTTGTTTGCATAAGCATGTACTAACTGGAACACGGGCCACTTCTCAGTAGCTACACCACTATAGAAAATGACTCCCCTCATCTGGCAACATTAACAGCCAATAGCTCTTCAGGGAGGAATCGTGCCTCACAGACTCCTCCTCCGTCCCTGCTGGAGCATTAACTACATCAGTGCTGTGTAATTGCATATGTTAACTATAGCTGCTGGGTGTTCATCAGTGCAACAACCTTGTCACATTTAAAACATAACTTTTCACAGCACTGCTCTCCATCCTCCAACTTTTACACTATTTCCACCCTCCTCTTCCACAGTGTTTCCTGAGCCCTGTAGGAGTGATAGGAGGTACCCAGTTTGGGGATAAGCATCACTTATTCCCAGCATATTGACAAGTTATGAGCCTCTGCATTGCCCACTGCAAAAAGAAGTTTTTCTCAACAAGGCTGAGAGAGGTAATTATCTATTTTCCTTGGGAACTTTTGGGCTTGTGTTTGGCTCCCATCACTGTAAACAATGAAAGCAGAGACACATGACCGAAATTTCAGTAGTCAGCAGATGGAGGTAAGAGGACCAGAAGTTTAAGATAATCTTAAACTACATAGTGAGTTCAAAGGCAGCCTTGGATATAGGAGGTCATTTCAGAAGGAAAAAAAGGATGTAGTTTGTGGCTGAATGTTGGGAAATTTCAATAACAAGAGACTAAGGGAACAAACACCAAGGGGAGGGGGGGTGCAGAAAGCCAAGGGAAACAAGAAAGTATCTGTTTAGACATTCCATGAGCAAAGTTTTCAAGAGGGAAAACTTGATCAACTGCATCAAATGACAAGGATGGTGAATCAGAATTGACCATTAAATTTGGAAATATAAGGCTAAATTTAGTCACTTAGGAAACAATATGTATAGATACAGTTAAAGCTATTCAAAAGTGAATAGGCCATTGAGAAGTTACTCCAGATGACTCCATGAATAAGAGCCCTTCTGTTTAAGCCTGGGGGCATGAGTTGGATTAGCATTTACCCAAAATGCCAGTCACAGGTACAGGCTCCTGAAACCTTGGTGTTTGTAGAGAGGACCAGAGACAGGAAGACAATTGGGGCTTGCTGGCTGTCAGTCCAAATGTAAATTCAGTAAGAAACCCTGGTTCAAAAAGTAGTGAAGTAAAGTGACAGAGGAGCCCAACTCCCTGTGTTCACCCATACACTTCACACACACACACACACACACACACACACACACACACACACACACACACACTACACATCACACATACATCACAGGTCACGCACTACACTATACATACATTACATATCGCACACACACATATCAAGCATATCACACACATCACACATATCACACACACACACACACACACACACACACACACACACATCACACACACAATACTTCTAAAATAATGATCAGGGGGCATAAATTGACGACACTAATACAGTTTTCTCCTTCATACAGTTTTTCTGTAAAAGGGAACAAATCAATTACTGCCTAACTGAAGAGGAATGTGGGTCAAGGATGATTGGTTTTGCTAAGTTTTACTAGAGAACTTATAGCAAATGCATGCATGTCTTTTTAAATTAGTCTAGCTTGGATCCTTTTTGGCGTGACAAAGCATTGTCCCCAAGTAAATGGATGTGATGCATTTCTGTTTACAGGCTGCAGGCCACACCATTAAGCAAAGTCAATGCAGGAACTCAAAGCAGAAACTGTGGATGAAGGCTGCTGTGGGTTTGCTTTCCTTGGCTTGTTCAGCTACCTTTCCTATGCTGCCCAGGTCATTGCTGGCTAAGGTCACTGCAACTGAGGGCGCCCCTTTCCCAATCTTGTGACCTTTTCAGACCGAAATCCTGCCATGTGAAGCCAAACCTCTGCTTTTCTTCTGGACCCCTACAATCCTACAACTGAGCCTGCAACTTCAATAATAGTGTCTTCTGGACTCTCTTCAGAGAGATGCTCACCCTATCACACAGAGGAAGCAAGCTAGTAAGCAAAGCATTCTTCCATGGTCACTGTTTCAGGTTCCAGCCTTGGTTTTGCTTGATGTCATATTACAGCCTGTAAGATGAAATAAATCCTTTCATTCCCCAAGTTGCTTTTGGTCAGTGTTTTATCCTAGTGACAGAGAAGCAAACTAGAGCACAAGTTTGTACCCTAGTGCCCACATATAGATGTTTACAAAGTGGAGTCAGAAATAGGTTGATAACTGGTAGTTTATTGGGGAAAAGTATTCACACAAGGGAGCCAGTGACCAGGTTTGCACCTGAGCAGGACAGACTCAGAAAATGCTTCTTAGTCAGCTCAGCCAGGAGAAAGAGCACCGCATGCTCAATTCCCTTCTTCTTAAACCCTTGTTACATAATTCTGACCACGCCCATTTGGGCGTGATCAGTGGTACTTCTGAATCATGGTTTCTCCCTACACCCACATGCCAATCTGATGGAGGCTATTCCTCAGTTGAGATTCTGTCTTCTCGGGAGTGTCGAGTTGACAACAAAAACTAACCAAGATGTAAATGAACATGATCTAATACAAATTTGATGGCACCAAAGACACAAGGGAGAATGACTGAGGGGTTGTGATGGGTAACAATGTGGCAGATGGCTTTACTATAGAAACAGAGAGGGCTCACTCATAGTATTAGTACAGAAGGTTTAATTTTGAAGCAGAGATTCACATATACATGAGGTAGGTATAATGATTAGAATACACAGATTTCTTTTAATTGCTTTGAATTCTTAACAAAATAAAAAAAAAGTTGTCTACTGAAGAAGGCAAGAGGATGAAAGGTGAGAAACAGCAGAGTTGCTCAGCAACATCGATAACCACTTAATGTTAAATGTCATGAATTTTAATTAAGACCAGCTATTATCCAGATTTTTTTCTTCCCAGTTAAGTTCAGCTACATGGGTGCTCTATGCAAGAATAAAATTTGATTTAACCAAGCTTGGTATTGTAGTTGGTAAACAGGGGCATAGAAATCAATGGTAAATGCAATGCAACGATTAAAATGATAGTCTATTGGATTTACACAGAGAAGGAGAAAACGTCAGGGCAGAGGAGATCCTCAAAGTGACAAAAGGCAGACACAGATGCGGAATGAAGGACGTTGCAAGATGTGCTATCATTTAGTTTAGGATGCCATAGGGAATGAGCAGAAAAGAGAAGACATGATATAATTGGTCAGTATATGGGACTAGCCAGGCTTGATGGCTCAGATCTACAGTTTCAGTACTCAAAAAGGCAGAAGTCGAAGGATTGCTTCAAGTTCAAGGCCAGCCTGGACTACAGAGTGAATGAGACCTCATCTCATAAAAACTGAACCAACCAAAACCCAAAACCCACAAGAATAAGAAACATGCATTTTCTGCATAAAAATTCTTCAAACTCTACTCAGACTTTTAATAGTAGATAAGTACTTTTAAATCTTGCCTTGCAAGAAAGCTTCATTTTTTTATTTTTTATTTTTTATTTTGCAATTTGAGATGATGGGTCTCCTTAAATTTCTGAGAGTACAATGGGAAACTAATGAAAAAAAATTCTAAAGAAGCATAATGCGAGGAACACCAAATACAGAGGCATAAGGTAGTAAAAGTATGAGAAGTATTTACTTTTCCATATACGATGCCGAGAACCCCCCCAAAAAATATATATCAATTTGGTTTTAAGAAGTTCACTTAACTTTGTGGCTCACAACCAATTAAATCTTAGATGAGTCAAATATTAAAGAATGAAAAGTGGGGAAGGCAGTATGTGTAACTTTAAAAACTAATCTCAGAGTTAGGAGGGCCTTGTTAAGCACTAATAAAAATGCAAAAGCAATAAAGTCTGATGTCAAGAGATAAATACATAAATACAATACTGACAAATTTTCAAATCCATAAACCTAGTAAAGATGACAAATGGAAGAAAAATATTTGCAACATGTATAATAAAGGGCATATTTTCTTATCATAGAACTCTTATAAGAAAAGGACAAATAACACACAGTATGAAAAATGAACAAGATATGTAAATGGACATTTTCAACAAACGAAGCACAGAATCGAATAAGCATATAAAATGTACCCACTACATTCACAAAGAAATCAAAATTCAAGTAAGAAATATACCATCTTTGCTTCTCAGTTTGCCAAAATTTAAAGACATAGTGATGTGCAAGACTGATGGAAAAGTGTCCAAGTACCTTCCTCAATACTGCAGAATGTGTGACCAGATACATCTCATCCTGGTTTCAGTGTGGTGGGAGGTGTTGTATTTAATGTATGAATCACTGACCATGGAATTTTAGTTTTAGCAATGTATCTTATAGGTGCATACTCCAAGAAGTGGACAGTTACAAACAAGCAGTGAGTCTTTCTTGTGTTCTTCATAGTTAGGGTAAGCCAGGTCAAGTGTGATATTGTTAGAAGCTATGCTGTGAAATTGTCCAAATTAGTACAACAAACCTTTTTGTAGTGATTTGTAAAGACACTGGGCATGTCATCCTTTATGGAAAATGCAAGTAACACAGCAATGGATTTAAAAACAGCACATTTGAATGACAAAGAAAGGTCACACAGAGACACACGTTCACACATACGGTATCAACACAGAGCATTTCCAAATCATGTTCAGGAAAATTTGCTTCTCATGTGACAGGGACTAGCAGCTTATGAATTACTTGATAATATGGAAAGGGAGGGCATCATGAAGCACTCTAAGATATTATTTTGAAGTTGGCACTCCAAGTATATGAACTCGGGATGTTTAAAACATTTTCGGGAATTTCATCCATACACGATTTCTTTAACAAGCCCACCCTCTGTTGCCTCCCCTCTAACTCTATACCCTGCACAACTTCGTGTCATCTTTTTTTAACCCACTGAGTCCTCTTAGTGTGACCTGTATGCGCATGGGTATAGAGATGTTCACTCCAGCATGAGCAGCTTTTTCCTAAAGAAAACTGACTTTCTTCACCCCACCCCCACCCCGAGTAGCTATAAAGTAACCATAGCTCCTTGCCTGAGGGTGGGACTTCACGATCCCCCATCCATGCTGGAATTATGAATGGCTTGATTCTGCACAGGCCTTATGCATACAACTAACACCTGTTATGACCTCAAGTCTGAACTGTAATGTTCAGAACACACCATTTTATAGCAGTCCCCTATGAACCCCAGATACTACACTGTTTCTGCCTCCCTTCTGCAATGGCCCCAAGCCTACAGAGAAAGACTGTGTGTGTGTGTGTGTGTGTGTGTGTGTGTGTGTGTGTGTGTGTGTGTGTGTGTGTGTGTACACGTGTGTGTCCCCATATATATCCTATTTAGGGCAGATCACTTTAAACTCTTATTCCCTGCACATTGACCAGTTGTTAATCATTGTTAATCACTGTCCACTAATAAGAAGCTTTTCTGGTCAAGGTAGAGAACTGCACTAATCTCTATATATGAAAATAACTATTTAAGGATCTGGAAAGATGCCTCAAGGGTTAAGAGCCCTTGTGACTCTTGCTGTGGAGTTAGGTTCAGTTCCCAACACCTACATAGCATCACACAATACTCTGTTGTTGCAGTTCCAGAGGACCAAAGCCTTCTTCTGGCCTCTTTGGGCATGCCTTCTGGCCTCTTTGGGCTTCTGCATTCTCATAGTGCACATAAAATCATACAGGAAAATGAAATGCACACATATATATGTAAAATAAATCAATCTTTTGAAGAGATAAGTATTTAAGATTCAGTGTAATACTACGTTCATTTTACAAAATAATAGTAGTAGTTCTCCTTTACTGTCTATGGCCTACCTAGCTACCAGATCTTGGCCCAGTGAGCAGTGTCAGGAATGACTTCCAAGTTTAGAAATCAAAAAGCGACTAGTTATTCTCATAATATTCACACAACTATTATAGCAATCACATTTCCTGCCAAACTACTTCTTATTGTACCTTGTAGGATCATATCCAGGTAAGACTGTCCATTACTTTTCTTCCAAGCAGGGTTGTATATAGCACACTCAGGCACTATGAAAGCTAGCCAGCAGGAATGACATTTCCAGGTTAGTACCAGCTTGATTTCTCCACATCCAATGACTCTAGTTTGTGTTATCTTCAGTGAAGAGGACTTACTACGAGTAATGAAAAGTAACCAAGAACAATTTCAATGTCCTGTATAAAATTGGTCCATGACACACCACTGGTCAACAAATTGAAAAGAGATAACCTACACTTTGTAATGGGCTCTTTGTTTAATAGCCTATAACATCTGGGAGAGGCATAATTCCCACATATATATTAAAGGTAACTCCATTTAAACTTGTATGTATGTATTTTAGGACGCTTCTTTTATACTGGGTTGCCCTGTGCATTTTCAAGGTCCTTAGTATTAGTTATCTAATCATTGTACCCCCTTGTTTACCACCCTAATTTGGTGGCATGAACCTGGGAGAGCAGGGCCTAAAAATAAGGTGGACTAAAGTCTTATACCATAGCAAACTTTATTCAGAGCATCAGACAATTTATACTCAGAGGGTTAAGAATAATCACACAAGGAAGGTGCTCAATCCCAAGAACAATCCACATGTGATAAAAACATGGTTTTCCATAGAAGCACGTGAATAACCAGAGCTGAAGTAAATCCACTCCTCTCCACCACACCTGGGAGGGGAACAAAAGCAAAACTCATTCCAAGAACAACTCGTGGTATGGAGGAACAGAGGTTGCAAGATTCTTGTCTTGTTTACTTGGACCTTCTCTCACAAGGTCTCAGAAATCTCCTCACACTTCTTCATTCATGGACCATGTTACCACCCACTCTACTTTACCCTGCCCTCCCCATTCTCTTCCCTATTTAACTCTTCCTGCCCCATTCTTTTAGTTTCCCACTTGATAACACCCATGTTCCACTATTCCATCTCCCTTGGAATCTCACCACCATATACCCATTTTCCAATTTCTTGACTTCTACAGGTGCCCTAATTTAAACACAAATAGCTTTTTGTGTGTGTTCATTCTTTTTTCGGGAGTTTTATTAGAAAGGAAAGAGGGAAGGAAAGAGAGAAGAGGTAAAGAGACACAGAGACAGAAAGAGGACAGAAGAGAAGAGGAGACAGGG